GCACAACATGCCCTTTCCTTTCGTTCTACCGACCACTTCGAGCATATCATTCACCGATTTCTTCAACAGCAGTACTCATCCGTCACTGCCAAATTGCGCGACGACTGCGCGAGGCGTGGTCCGCGATGTACTGAAGCGACACAAGCGCATCCCTCCATCGTCGCAAGGCTCGAATCTCTCGATAGTACAATCGGCCCTCAATGACTACATACCATATCTTTTCGCCCTGGATGCAGGACTGAGCGGAACGAGTTGTGCTGGTGAGGAGATCGACCTTGTACTGGTGAAGGAGCTGGAGGTAGAATGGCGCTCGACACTGGGCTCGTCAATACCTGGACGTGAGCCTACAAGAGTGAAGTTGAAGAGTCTGGAAAGCGAATTGTGCTACACTTTATCAACTCTCGCATACGTGCACAGCTTGCAAGCCCGCGCGCAACTCCATACACTCTACAACGCGACCCTACCGTCCCCCGAGCAACGCGCAACAGCGATCGGTGCTGCGATGAAGTCTTTCCTCGAAGCAAATTCAATACACACATACTTGGTCAATCGAGCAGGGCAATGGAATTCCCAGCCTGCTGCAGTGGACATTTCGGCGTCTGTGATGGGTGCTCTGGCTGCGCTCACCATGGCTGAGGCTACGCTCATCACAGTGCTGAAGGATGACCCATACCCAACTGTTGTCCTCGAAGACAGGAATAAGCAGAATAAGGACTGGATGTTCAAGGGTGTAGAGATACCCAAGGTCCGCGCGCACCTGTTTGCGCGGCTGTGCCTAGCTTCTTCTGAGCATGCAGCAAAGGCTCAAGCTATGCTTGGGAGTTCGGCCAAGATCAATGACGACCTTCAGAAGTACGTGGATGACTTGCGAAGAACTGCAAAGGGGAAGGCATGCCGATTCCTAGCGTGCGACGCGGAGACTGGTGGCAAGACTGGCGAAGGTATTGCGTGGCTTCGAGGAGCGAAGAAGGAGCTGGGCTTCGCCTCTCTGACTGCCGATGAAGATAAGAAGTCCTCTGGCTTTTCGAAGCTCAAGAAGGAATGGCAGGAGAAGCGCGAAGACCGCAAGATCGAGAAGGGCGTAGACTGGGGAACTGATGCAGGCAAGTTTGAGGAAGGGCGTATCATCGATATGTTGCTAAAGAAATGGGAGAAGATGAACGATACGGTAGGTTGCGGGCGATATACCGTACAATGCATGATGCTTACGCGGCCAGGTTGGTGTGCAATTGATACCAGCGTCGGAGCCATTACTCGCAAGCATGCCGTCCGGTCGGGAGTATCACACGACAAAGATGTTTGTCGTCCCGGCGCTCGACGAAGATGCTCTTGTAAGGATGCGAGCGCCGCCTGATCCCAGCGAGGCGTTCAAAGGAGACGAAGACGACAGCGCGGATGAGGACGAGAGCAGTGCTCCAGCGGGAGCCTTTCCAGGTACTAAGGCAGACTATGCTGCTGGGACGAGCTATTACTAGGAATTCAGGCCTGAAACCCTCGCGTATGTGTAGGGCTTCAGCGCAAACTAATGATACACTGAAGACCTTCCAGCTACTGCGTGCGCAACGCGAGCAGTGCTGTACCAACACTTGGAGATGTTCGCGTTGCACCCATGTCAACGTGTGAATGACCCATCAGAGGTGTTTAGATACATTGCCTTCTCAAGCACGAAGGACAAATTGTACTGAGGGATTGCCGTCGTCGTCAGCATGCCCTTTGGCTGCCGCGCCTGCTACTGATGCTTACATGCCTATCATCTTAGCTCACCACAACTGTCACCAATCTCATCACAGCCCGTTTAGGTATCATGCACCTTGACAGGCCCAGTAGGACATTCCTGACGGGCATGCCCGTGCCCGTTGAACGCTTGCCCGTTGGAGCATGTCCAGCCGATGGAGTGAGATCGACCGAGGACGCTCATCCCAGCTATCACAACGCCCGGAACCTTTCCGTCCCAAAAGCGCAGTTGCATCCTCGCACAGCACTCGACTACTTTCTTGCTGGCGATGCATCAAAGATACGACCGCCGCGACCTTATTCCATGTTCAGGCTTGCATTATGGCGTCTACCGCGTGCCTGTGAACCCCTCTTCACCATCGCTACGGCTGGTCGGCGTCGCCTTTCAATCAATCGCGTGCATGTCCAACCCCGGCCCGCGATCTCCCCACCCTAGGCGAACCCTCGATGCCACACCAACTGATAACCAGATAGCACCAGCGCCTGTCGTCATTCGCTGCCCACAAGCCTATCGCCGAGCGCCTGGGAAGCCGTCGCGTGTTTCCCCCGCTCTGATAACCATGGCCCAGGGTAATTAGACGAACCCTGCTAATCTGGGACGCATGCTTGCGACTTCGTATATAGACAAGTGCATGCGCTGTACGTGTGTGCGCGGCTTGGTTTGACATTGCCAACTTCACTATTCGTCCCTGCTTCGCCTCGCCCATGCGAAGCTATCGCGCCTTGCTTCTCCCGTCCCAAGTTCCTCCGACAGAAGGATAGTGGTCTGGTTCGCTGAACCACCACACGCGATTCGCGACCATGAGCACAGAACGAACATCAGCACATCGACATCGCAGCATCGCCGAAGAACCAGTAACTTCTGTCTTGCCTGACGGCGATGTGCCGTACGACCCCACACATGAATTCAACCCCGATGAGGAAGTGCTCGCTGCCCTAGGTTACAAGAGCGAATTCAAGCGCGAATTCTCGCTCTTCACGACTTTCTGCGTCAGTTTTGCGGTCCTGGGCTTACTGCCCAGTTTCGCGAGTACGCTGTATTATGGCATGGGGTATGCAGGTACAGCGGGCATGACGTGGGGATGGATTATTGCCATGGTGGGCATTCAGTGCGTTGCGATGAGCATGGCGGAATTGTGCTCGAGCATGCCGACAAGTGGAGGGCTGTACTATGCGGCTGCGGTGCTGGCGCCGCCGGGCTGGGGACCGTTTGCGGCGTGGATTACCGGGTGGAGCAATTGGTGTGCGCAGGTTACTGCGGCGCCTTCTGGTATGTCTTCAGTCGAGTGAGTTTGGATGAAGGAAATGGCACTAACATCCAGACAGTGAATTATGGAATCTCGGCTATGATATTGGCGGCTGCATCCATCAGCAATCCAGATTACGTACCGCAGAGTTGGCAGGTGTTTTTACTCACTGTCTTCATCATGATCATCCATGCGGCGCTGAGTTCGATGCCGACGAAGTGGCTGGCGCAGTTCAACAGCGCTGGTTCAACGTTCAACTTCCTCGCTTTGATTGTGGTCATCATCATGATCCCAGCTGGCACCGACCGAGCAGACCGCGGTCTTCCTCGCTTTGCTCCGTCCAGCGAAGTCTGGGGCACGATCTACGAAGGCACTGCGTTCCCACCAGGTGTAGCCGTGCTCATGAGCTTCATTGGCGTCATCTGGACTATGAGCGGATATGACTCGCCTTTCCATCTTGCGGAGGAATGTTCAAACGCCAACCTGGCATCGCCACGCGCGATCGTGCTCACTTCTGCAACAGGCGGCATCTTTGGCTGGTTCTTGCAGCTTGTCGTGGCATACACCGTTGTCGATATCGAACAAGTCCTCGATTCGGAGCTTGGACAGCCATTCGCTGCATACCTCATGCAGTGCATGACACAAAAGATGACTCTGGCTATCCTCGCTCTCACTATCATCGCGGGCTTCTCCATGGGCCAGGGATGCATGATCGCAGCATCGAGAGTCACATTCGCGTACGCGCGTGATGACTGCTTCCCTCTCAGCAAGTACTGGAAACGAGTCAACAAGCACACCCAAACACCTGCGAACGCTGTGTGGTTCAACTGTGTTATTGGCATCCTTCTCCTGCTACTCATCTTTGGCGGCGACCTTGCAATTGGCGCCCTCTTCTCTATTGGTGCCATTGCAGCTTTTGTGTAAGTCCTAGCATTCCTATCCTACCAACCTAGCAGCAGTACTAACGAAACAATCAGAGCCTTCACAATCCCGATCTTCATCCGCGTCTTCTTCGTCGGCAACCGATTCCGCCCCGGCCCCTGGAACCTCGGCAAATTCTCCATCCCAATCGGCGTCACTGCATCCGCTTTTGTCGCGCTCATGGTCCCAATCCTCTGTCTACCCAGCGTCGTAGGCGCAGATCTGACGCCCGCCGACATGAACTGGACATGTCTCGTCTATGGCGGTCCCATGTTTCTGGTCACGATTTGGTGGTTTGTTAGCGCGCGTAAGTGGTTCAAGGGACCAAAGGTCAATATCGAACATATGATGCTCGGCAGGGGGGAGAGTATTGATGGCCAGGGCTTGGCGGATGCAAAGGATCGGGATGATTCAAGCGGGGATGGGAAGTTGGCGCAGATCAAGACTTCATGAAGAAGTGCTTGGATCTGCGTATGTTGTATACCAAGTATGGTTGGAGAGGGTAGAAGAGGTTGCTCACGGGAAGAGGGGGAAATGTATATGCTTGTACTGTAAAGTTTGTCCGTGTAGCGTTATACCCATGCAATCGCTCAAGTTAAAAGACCGTCCGTCTTTTCTACAGTATATCGCTCATATATTGTCTAGTCCCGCGCATCGCGGCATCAGGTTGCAGCAGCACTGGGTCCGTGCCGACATCACTCGATGCCCACCATATCAATGTCCTCAATCCGTTAGCGTGGGTGCTTCCGACTCACTTCCCTATCATTATTACATGTACAAATACGTCTCAAGAGACTACATAGATTCAACATCAAAACAGAGTCCAATAGAAGCCTGCTTATCACAACGCACGCGACAAAAGATAATTTATCATCCAGATCGTGCCCGTTGCCCGTGCGGCGGCATACATCGGCTCGGTACATCACAAGTACAGTGATTACAACACAACACAACACCAGCCCACTTCACTATCCCTAATCAAACCTCTCACTCCCCAAATCCGACAACCTCCATGTCCCCTTCCAAAGAGACACTGCAAATATGTAGCATATATTTATCATTTTATTTCAAAATCCCAACATCTCAACCAATCACACTTCTCGAATAGTATAGTGGTCAGTATTTCGGCTTGTCAAGCAATGTCAATTCGCCGGAGGCCGGGGTAAGTTCTACCACACACACACAAGTCCCACCTTGTTCATGTGACTGACAAGCGTCCAGGTTCGATTCCCCGTTCGAGAGCTATTCCAGCTGTTCTTTTTTTGCAATTTTGAGACTATTGGCGGTGGGGTGTGCGAATGGAGGAGTTGGAGACGTGGGCGAAATACCTTGTGTGTGGTGGAGTCGACATGGAGTGCTTAGTGGTGCGTGCGTCTCGCGTGGATGCGGGATTAGGCGTGGAGCGAGAGAGTACACAGTAGCATATTTGGAAAGATTGGCCGATTATATTTTGGAGGGGGGAAAAATGGGAAATGGGGTTTACTTATGAGTTATGGGAAGAGGTAAGGATTGGACAACATGGTATTGTAAAAAGGGATGCTACTTTCTGGACAGGCCGTGAGAGCTATTGTTGGAGGTGTTACTAGCCACAGTGGCTGGGTGTATGTGGCGCATGCATGTGTTCTCTGAGCATGCCAAGTGGAAGAAGCTGTCCCACTTGTTTAGCTGGGTGCAGATTGTAGGGAGGCGTAGTGCGATCTCAGGCTTGGGTGACGCTTTCCAAGACCGCAATCCATGGTTTCGCGCTATTATGGCATCACATACCCAAGACAACTACCCGGGCAGCAAGATAACTCCACGTAGACTACCATGTTCTAGACCAGAAAAAAGACACAGGATTCAGGTCCAAAATTCCGCTTTCTCTTTGTCTCCGACCTATTTTTGGCGTTGCTGCAAGTGGTCGAGTCCGATATGCATACGACCACGAAGTCCGCTAAGAACGTCACACATCACGCCTCGTCAGCGAAAACCCTAGACGGAGCATCTGCTAGACACGGCCAAGACACTTTTGATGGATAGCCATTGTTCCTGGTTTCGATTATTAACAGCCTCACAAGCCTCTTGCTCGGGATGACAGTGTCGAAACATTGAACCCCACTGATCGCAACAACCGGACTTGTGTCAAATGTCTAGGAGTCATCCAGATCATACTTCTTCCCTTCGCGACTTCGCTTGCGAGCCCTTGCGCTTGCGCCCACGGAGTACCACATGATGCACGCCGTATAGGAGGGGCTCGAGGGTGAGGTCTTCTTAGCGAATAGTTTTGATTCCGCCTTCCAGTGCCAAGTTAGATTGTGACCTACTACTAGAAGACGCGTATGTCCTGTCTTGTTTCCAAGGTAGATACAAGGACTCTAGTCGAGCTAATTAGCACACTAGACGACCCGAAGACATTTTCGTCCTCGTCAAGCAATACTTTGATCGACATTTGCCATCACTTATATCACTAGCAAACGCGAGAATGGGCGAAGATGTACCACTCATCCATCGAGCATCGAGCTCGTTATCGTATATTTCGTCGCGATCGAAGACAATGTTGAATCCTCATATGCTACCGTCCAAGCTCTTCGTGGGCATTTGCTTCGTCCTCTTCACCTTTCCCATCTTATTCTGGCATCGAGACACCATCAAGAAAACCTCCGTTCCATACCCTCGACCCGTCACAAGACCTATACCGCAATTCATCGCCTCCGGCACCTCGCAATGCCTCCCACCCACAACCGCCGAGATGATTGAACAAGCGGTCCGCAAACATGTTGCATGTCGCAAATACTCCCCCTTCACAACAAGCAGAGCCCGCATTGCGACCGTTACGGCACACTTCGGAGGCCCTGACGAACACTACCAGACGGCCTTCGAAAGTCACCTTCTTCATAGCCTCATTCACGGCACCGAAGTCCGCGTCATGTGCGATCCCATCATCGACGATCTGTGGAACAAACCTGCCTTCATTCTCAACCTGCTTATGCGCGAAATACTCAAGCCCGAGAAGGAGCGTCTTGAATGGATTATGTGGATTGATCGCGACACCATCATCCTCGACCAATGCCGGCCCATATCATCCTTCCTACCACCCGCAAAACCGCGCGTTGGATCATGGTGGCGCCGCGGCGATAATCAAGAGAAGAATATCACGCATGTAAATTTGCTTGTGACGAATGACTTCAATGGCTTGAATAACGGCATCTTCCTTCTTCGCGTCAATGAGTGGGCTATTCGACTCTTCACAGCCATCCTCGCGTTCCGGCACTACAATCCCGACATTGTCCTCCCATGGAGTGAACAATCCGCCATGGAGCACGTTATTCAGACAGAGGAATTCAAGCACCAAACGCGCCTCGTGCCGCAGCATTGGTTCAATGCGTACGATCACGACGGTGCGCAGACATTTGCCGGGAGAGATGATTTGATGGAGTTGAATGAGGAGTGGGTTAGAAAAGGGGATTATCTAGTACATTTTGCAGGACATCCGGACAAGGGGAGGGTGATTGATGAGTATGTGGAGATGCTGAGCGGGCTGCCGGATGTGTGGGAAGCTGGGACGGTGCAGAGGGATGTGAGTGAGGAGGTGGATGGGTTTTGGAAGGATCTGGGGTATTGAGGGAGAAAGTGAGGGTCGGATGTATTATATATTTTCGTTTGTACCTGGAAACTGAATGGGTTTACAGGGACTTTGGATTCTACAGTTTTGCGTTATGTTGACATCTCGAGGCACTGGTAAGAGAAAGGAAGTACGATGTCATGAAGAGTGAGCGACGGTCTCCAAAAAGCCACTCGGTACTGCACCTTGATATGTCTCTTGGGACACTCCTGAAGGCCTTCGCGCATGCCTATATCTTCAGCGAAACCATAATCAAATGCCGAGGGCCTCTGGACTACCGTGTCGAAGGTCGCGATGGTTGTCTCGGTAGCGTTTGAACATCTCCACGCTGCCCTCAAACGAAGTTGCCGAAGGGGCGGAGCTGTTGTCCCGATGGAGGTTGGAAGATGCAGCTAGTCATCTGTCGTCGGCCAAGTGATCCTAAAGGCTTGCGACACTATTCATGAGCACAATCGGCATTCACTTGGAAGACTTCATTGGCTGCGGCTGGAGGACTCCCACACCCGATGACAGAAATTAGCTGCATATCGATTGCCGAGTAGTGCATCGTGGAGTTTCGTCTAGAGTGCAAGACCGTTTGCAGATTCTTGAGCGACTGGGGACGTTTACTCATGCATCTTTAAGGTTGTGGGAGTATGCCCGCCTACCGAAGTAAGTGGTGTGATGCTTTCAGACCAACGCGGGGCTGGTAAGGATGTGCAGCACGCGAGGAGGCCTGAAGATTGCGTCCCTTGAGTTCACAACTCGAGCCGAACGCATTGTGGAAATATGCCTGCAAATCTTACTCGAGCATACCGCCCATGACGAGTATGATGGTAAAGAGATCATCAGCGCTATATGGACTATGCGCTGAAGTCGTCTGTGTGTGGGCGACGGACCATCAGAAGAGTTATCTGCGGATCGTTAAGGTGCAGGCTGCTGTCGCAGGAACCCTGAAGACTTCGCTACGCAGCCATGCTGTCGGGTGGATACTCGCTGGCTGCAAGGTACTGTGTTGGGGTCAGCCTGGGTGGATCCAATGACATTAGATCTCCACGATCACATGCTCACTAACATAGTGGCGGCCAGTTGGTCTCGGACGGGAGGTGGGAAGGCGCACCAAGGGTCGGCAGGCTCCGAGCTAGAACTCCTGGACAACGCAAGTTCGCCTTCCCTATCAGCTTCGATAAAACGTTTCATCGAGTCGATCATCTTCATGCGCAGTTCTCCTCGCTTAGCCATGAGCCTGAAGCCGGATGTGCGTCTGTGCAGTCGCCGTTTGACAGGTGACATTCTTCACGATGCAGGGCTGTGATTGGATGCTGCGTTTGCTCATCGTGCCGCGCAATGTCATCGATTCAAGGCCACTGGCTTCGCGACGAGGATTTTGCCTCTATCGCAATTCACCTGCATAGGGGATTCGCCCTCGAGTCAAACACGCATTGTTGCCAATAGGTGTTGTCATTCACTTAAGTCTGGGATCTTCTCTGCACGTCGCAGCTAGCACACCCGCGGGCCTACTGGTTTCATTGCGACCACCAAACCATTCGGCCCACGATATATCTTTTGCTGGACGATCATCAGATAACCCAGAGGCAATCCTCCAAAAACCACCGTATCGACTTTCCACTTACCGAGGGATCGCCACAGCTGCCGGCGCCCGAAAAGGTTGAGCCTAGCTCGTCAAGCCACGGTGGGCGTAGAATCGACGCTATTTGACGGCACACAGTCGAGAAGGAAAAAGGCCCGACTCGGTTCCGCGGCAGGTCCCATCCACAGACGCGGGTTGGGAGTGGAGCGGCGCTACAAAGAATTCCAAAGGTGAGTCGCATTTTAAAGACGCACGTTGCTCAGCTCGCGCGAGCATAACCTTGCCTGCCACGTTTTCTCGACAAGTCCGCAACGCAGCACACGACCCAGAGCGACCAGTTCCATGAGAGCCCGTGCGACCACAAACCTCGACCATATCACATGTACCACCCAAGCAACACCTACCTGCCGAACGGATTTGCCGAATACGCGCATCATCAACTCGTTCCTGGAGCCCGGCACTCATACCCTCGCAACTTGATCATCTCTGGACACCGAAAGTGCCGCCTTGACACAACTCTATACTTTGCCTGATTGGACTCTCTTTGACCACTTGAGTAGATCTTGTCGTACGTTTGATAGGGCGACGGCTGTCGCATCGAAGCAGTCGCAATGTCGCAATCAGTCATCTTTCCGGAAGCCGGAATATTTTACGGCGTATGTTGGATTGTCGTGATACTACGTTTGATCTCGAGAAGACTGCATCGAGGATCATGGAAGCACTTACAGCTTGATGATTATTTGATCCTTTTGGCAATGGTGAATGCATCCACCTATTCTCCGTCTTATCCAAACTGACAAAAAGCTGTAGGCTACAGACACAGTTCTGATTGCCATCATGAGCCAGGTCGTACAGACCAGCTCTAACCTGTTACCACCTGGAGAGGACGTTTCTGGTTACACCCAAGCAGAGAAAGACAGTCGCATCTATGGATCTAAGCTCGTCTTGGTCGTCGAGCAGATGCAAATCTTGACCATTTGGCTCATCAAGACGTGTCTACTCTTGCTATACAACAGAATGACGACGATACTGCCCCAACATCGAATTGTCGTCGCAACATCGATCTATGTG